AGGGGGGGGCCCTGGCCCCCCCGGGGGCACACGCCAGCCCCCGCTCACCTGCAGCCCTTGCTCTTTGGCCACTTGCCTCTTGTGCTCCTCGTCCGCCTTGTTCCCGATGAGGATTTTCTGGACACCGTCTGGCGCGTACTGGGGAGGAGGGGGTGGTGTGAGGACTCCCCCCCTGCCACGGGGTGGGGGACGGGATCGCCCCAGACCTCCCCGCACCCCCGACCTCATCCACGTCGCTTGCCCACTTCACGATGTGCTGGTAGGAGCGCTCGCTGCCGATGTCGTACACTAGGAAGATGCCCTGCAGGAGAGGGGGGAGTTTACACCCCCATTGACACACACACAAACACCCCTGTGCCTCAGTTTCCCCTCTCCTGTGCACCAGGATGGGACCCCCCCACCCCGTACCTGTGCCCGCCGGTAATACTGCTTGGTGATGGTCTGGTACCGCTCCTGGCCTGCCGTGTCCCTGCAGCCGGGGAGAGCGGGTCAGGGCTGCCACCCATGGCACGAGTTCGTCAGGCCTCAGCCCCCACCCGGGGGGGATGGGAGCAGGGTTCAGCCCCCCCCCCTCAATTCCCCCCACCCCAGGGCCTGGCACCGGCACTCACCAGATCTGTATCCGCACCTTAATGCCGTCCACTTCAATGGTCTTCATCTTGAAGTCAACTCCTGGGATGGGGACCGTAGAGGTTACAGGGTGCCCCGGCATGTCCCCTCCATCACGCGAGCCGCTGCCACCAGGGTCCCTCTGGTCCCCCCACCCTCTTCTGGCCCACCCCAAGCCCGGCCATGCTGCCAAACCGGGTGCCGGGACTCGCCCGTGCCCAGAGCCGCAGCCCCGCCGTGGCCTGGTGCCCCGGTAGCAGCCCGGTGCCGGTGCCCACACCTGGGCCCAGCGGCCCCGGTGCTGGGTCACTGCGCGGATGCTGGCCCCGGTCCCGCTGCCGGGCGGGTGCTCCCGGTGCTCCCCGTGTCCCCGGTTTTGCCGTGCTGTGGCTCCCCAGTACCCCCAGTTCCCCAGTGCCGCAGCTCCCTGGTGCCCCTGGTTTTCCCGGTTCCCCAGTGCTGCAGCTGCCCGCTGCTCCCGGTTCCCCAGTGCCACAGCTACCCAGTGCCCTCAGTTTCCCATTTCCCCGGTGCCCCTGCTCCCCGGTTCCCACGGTTTCCCATTTCCCCGGTGCCACGGCTCCCCAGTTTCCCGGTGCTCCCGGTTCCCCCGGTTTTCCCCTTCCCCGGTCCCCCCCGCTTTTTCCCGTCCCCCCCCGCAGCATCCTCCAGCTCCCCGCCGCTGCCGGGTGCTCCCCGTCGTCCCGCGGCGGTGCCGGTGCGGCGGTACCGATGGTGGAGATGTGGGCGGGGTGGAACTGGTTGTCGGTAAAACGGCAGAGCAGGCAGGTCTTGCCCACCCCCGAATCCCCCAGCAGCAACAACCGGAACAGCACGTCGTACTGCTTGGCCATGGCGGGCCGGGCCGGGCCGGGCCGGGGCCGCCGCTGCC